GTACAACTCTAAAGTATAAGACCTGGCATCGGATCAACGATAAGTCTACAAACATATAGCACTAAAAAAACTGGATTTCGATACTCGTGGTGGGCACAGCACAAATAGCCCATTGTGTAGCTTTGCGCTTAACAACAAACAAACAAAAGCAAAGTGTAAGACTGAATTTTAGTTCTCATTGATATGTTAATATAGAAAAAAATCTAATGTCTTCGTTGCAGCATTAATTTTGAAACTTATTTGTATTAGGAAATGGTTTGTTTGTTTGTTGTTGTTTTTAGAGAAAAGTCACAATGAGCTACCTGCTGTGTCCACCACGTAAATCGAAGCCCGGATTTTAACGTTGTAAGACCATAAACTTACCACTGTCCCACCGAGGGACAGTAAGAAATGGAATATTACTGCGAACTTGAAAATTTCAGTTTATTAAGCATTTTGAATAATATATTGCGATTAAAATACTTAAGCTGAAGTTCAAATTATGTTTTTAAACTCATTTGACGCGTTTTTCTAACATTTATTCGAAGCCAACTGTAAAAAAATTCATGGGTGAAACTTCCAAATATCTGCATTACACTATACGTTATAAGATACTTTCGTAGCATCTGTTCCGCATAAAATAATTATTTACGTTCTTAAAATCAGTAATTTGGTGTTAAACCGTATTATGACTCGCAACATACTTTTTGTTTCTACACACATACCTAGAGCAGTGGTAAAATGAGAAATTACGTCTAAAAGGAAGACAGAAAAATCAGATTAACAATCTTCAGATTTATCACCTGTAAAAGAATATTATAAATCTCTTATTCTTCTAAGATTATTACAGATGTTTCCCTTATCAGCGACGAAGTCATAATTCTCTACTGGAGGCACAGACGTGAATGTCTTCCTCAGCGAGAACAGACGAAGACCCTTTTGACTGCTTTCACCACCATTTACACTCGAGTGAAATTGTACAACACCCTCGAGAAGTTTGGCCCGCCGGTGTTGTACCTCGATACAGACAACATAGTTTTGATATCAGACGGAACTAACGAAGAAGAAAGATTTTCTCGGATTGTTTACAGACGAGCTTGAACTATAGTAATCGCATTGCATGGCACAACGCAGTCTATGGAAAGGAATGGTTATATGGCATAATTAGCTCATCATCAATTGTCTCCGGTGGCTCAGCAGTAAGTCTGAAACTTATACTGATCAAAATCTGGTTTCAATACTCAAGGATAGAAAAACAATGGTAGCCCATCGTATAGTTTTTTTTTTGTTGTTTTTGCGTAACAACAAATAAAGATGATGAATTTTGGATTGTTCTTTTTTTGGGGGGAAGTCATTGGCAGTATAGGCATTTATTTGGTTTTAGTTTGAGTAATCTATTTTCTCTCAAGGTTTTATACTGCTAAAATCGGGGGTTTAATTCCTGCGGTGGGCGAAGCGCAAATAATTGACTGTGTAGCTTTACACTAAAGCAAACAGACCAAGACAAGAAAGGCTAAGCGCTAGAAAAACAGGTAGTCCATTCCACTATACATATTAAGTCAACTCTCCTCTTGAGAATAAAGATTTTCTTCTCGAAAACGATGAGGGTTGTTGATTTTTTTTAATTGTGATTAACTTCTGATTTCATTCTATGAAGAAAGAAAACAGTGGGTCACACAAAAAGCCCCAACACTTGAAAAGACGAGAAGCAGTAAGTGAAAAGATCAAGATAAAAGAAATGGATATTAATTCTACCTGTAGGAAACTAGCCAAAATACATTGATCACTGACGTATATGACACCACATGGAAAAATTATATTTTGCAAAGTCAAAGTTGGAGGTTTTCTTCCTGTTGTCTTTTGATAAGAAGGACTATTATCCTTTAAGATCCATCAATGATGCGAAATTCTTTTTCACGTTTTCTTTTACTCTGAAGTCAAGAGTAGGAAGTTTGAATACTTTACAAACATATCTTCATATCTTACAAAAATATTAAAGCCGATAGACCAAAACTAACTAAACAAATAAACACGAGAATACTTCATCTTCTAGTATAAGATTGTATCTTCATCCCCTGTTTTCTCAATTTGAGAAATAATATAAATTATATGTTTTATCATTACACAGATTATATGTAGAAATATTTTTGACTTATGATTGAGAAGATAGAAGAAACTCACGACCTGTGAGTGAAAAATGCAACATAGAAGAGTTTTAATGATGTGGATCTCGAACATACTATGAACGATTGACACAGAAATAAAGGTACTCACATTATGACAGATAGATAACATTCAGCCTTTTTTTACGCAAAACAGATTTTTACCGAATAGAGTGAACGTAAAAAAAATTGTCTTGTGCGAAATAAAATATAGTTTTTGTATAAAAATAGATGGTGAAGTAGCGACAAAACTATATATTTAACATAATTAAAGAGGAACCCGAGTATTACTCTGGACTACTGAAAAACTTCAGGTTGAAAAAGTGAAACGTCTAGGCGTAAGACTTATTTTCAATTGTCCGAAAGAAGCTAAAGTTTTTCAGATGCTCTTACACATGTTTAAATGTTTGTATCAGAAATATCAAATAGGAAAACCTCTTTTAACATGTTTAGGCGATTCCAAAAATTGCAGATAAATTTCCGTCGAAAGAAATAGAATTCATTTCTTCATTACATGGTTAGGACAAGTGCTTATATATTTTACGATAGAGTTTTAATAATTCTAGTTTTAATGAATCTTCACAGAATAATTCGTACAATTTCCAATATTACAATATGAATTTAATTTAATTCTGCTCTGTGTAGAAAACATTGTAACAGATCTTACAACTGGGAAGTAGTTTATTGTTCATGTTGCAAGTGAAACTGTGAAATCGTTCCACTAATCTTGATGAAATGTAATATATCAAAACATGAAATAGAAAAACATATTCAATTTTTTATTTTCTGCATTTAGCTTGCAAGGTACTCTGAAATTACCAGTATTTAGTTTCACTTCCAATTTTCAAAATATACAGATTCTGTTTTGATTTTGATAGTTTATCTATATGTTAAACATGTCTTAAAATATTTCCTTTTTTAGTTCGAATTTCCATACATATTGTTAATCATGCTTTTTCGTATTTCTTATGATACTTTAAAAACACCAGAGGACGTTTTATTGCTTTCTAAGTGATAAAGCCTTTCATAGTTCGATAGTCGCCATTGTTTCTATAAACCCGACGGAAATCTGGTAGAATTGAGGATTGCGATAGACCCATTTTAGGCCTAGGTCTATATGAAGATAATTTTATTTAAGCGCAAATTGAAACAGGTGGATAACATTTTGAACATCTTCGATTACTATATCTTATAAGGTAGATAAGTCACTAATTAACTAGGTTAATAGTTAGGCTTATGCAGTCTGACTGAATTCTAGTAATGGCTGTTTATGAGTTTTGCTTTTTAGACTGTTGTGTACACGCTCTACGCGTACCTACCTTGTGTAATGAATCGCTTGAAATTTACATTTCGGCTTCGACTTTGCATATTGTGCGATGTTTAGTTCAATGACATTCTTACGGTATTGGTACATTATATTATGTGAAAAATGTAAGCCTGTGTAATAACTTAATTATGTTTATCATGAAATTAAACGTACTGTAAGTATAAATTATAATTTATATACTAGTGTAGAAATTCAGTGGAGAACAATGAGGTGATGACACAGTTTCACTTACGATACAAGTTACAGTGCTTGTTACCATAATCTTACAACTTGTAACAAGCTAGATTCTAAAGTTTTCTTGTGTGGATAGTAGGTACCAGGAGACAATTTCATGTAGAAATTTCTGATGCCATCCAGTCATGTGGAATCTTTGGTGCAGAAATTAGTCTCATAAATGAATTAACATAACACATCTGAAGCCTATTTTGATCTTTTTATCTTGCCAAACAAGTCCTTGTCATTTGCAAAATCAATGTTTCAGAATTTTTTTTCCCCTGTTGGTTGACATGGCCCCTGACTTTCCACTTTTTGTATTTACGTTCATAAAAATAACTCGTAAGCCTAGTTTTTAAGCTGTATTTTATTGAATTTTAAACTTTTTACAAGTAATTGCTTGACTGTTTCAATTATTTTGAACTTTCTGCTTGGAAATAAAATTGTATTTTCTTGGTTAAATTGTTGCATAAATCTTTCTCTTGTGTCATGAAAGTTTCACAAGTTATCTTCTAAATATAATGTGGGAGGTCCTATGTGAAAGATCATCCCATGACCATCTTGATCATTTATGTGCATCTTCTCTATTGATTTAACAATGTCTTGCTATATTTTCCTGGAATGACTTCTCTTCCATCCATTAGCTCTTGTAGAATGAGGTTAATTAGGTCTATATGTTTTCTTGCATAGCTGACCATGCCACCTTATGCCTCTTTATAGTGGCTAATAGTTTCACAGGCTTTCCAATTAATGCTGGTATTTATGCTAGGAATGAACTGTTTGTTCTGTATGTAGATTAAGGGATAATTAGGAACATATTTGTGATATCTCAACATGAAAGCCACTTCCATGTTCCTGTAGGTAAAGTCCAAATTTTGCATGTATACTGGTTCATGGAGTACTCCATTGTTCTAAGGAAGTGTATATTAACTTCATGCTAATTTTCTATGTCTCCTAATATTTTGCCAAATTTCTCAAAAGTTGCACGTGTGATGTTCATTTTTTTTTACCACCTATGAGATTGGACCCAAAGTATTTGAAGTATTTCAAACATTTTCAAGCAATATAGATTCTTTTTGCTGGTATCATGGTACATTTCCCCATAGACATGTTTTTTGCAATGATTTTAATTCTTATGATATTACAGTTCATATAATCTTGCTCTCGGATCATCTGATCTTGCCTACCATGTCTATGTCATTTGCAAAATGAATGTTCAAGTCCCCCCCCTAATTATAGTTGACATAGCCCCTAACTCTTTCTACTTTTGCATTTA